AGGAATGCATGTGATCCACCAAGAAGGACTCCAAGAGTCTCAGCAAGCCTGCTGAAGTCCAGGAGGTGATTCCTGGTCGCTTCAATGTGCTTCAACCACACGGTACAGCTGCGTGCTAACAGCTTCACTTGTTACCCCTGCCATGGAAACTAGCACAGCTGGGCATGAGTTCTCAGATGAAACTTTTTAACTCAGGAACCACCCCTCTGCTGAGACTACATCCACTCAGGGTTTGTTCTGACCACACTTTTGTCAGGAAGAGCTTTGCCGCTGCCAGGGATGATTTTTTTGGAGGAAACCCCTCCCTTGGGAGAAGGCCACGGTAGCAGGGATACATGCCACCCAGCACTTCACCAGCCTTCCCCTCTCTCTGCTCCCACAAGCCCCAAAAAGTGCTGGCTTTTTCATAGCGCAAAAAGCGAGCAAATGCCAAAGCCTCCGTTTCTCATTTCCTAGCCCACCGCAGCAGTGAGCGGGCAGCTTAGCTCTCTGAAATTCCTTGTGGGTTACAGCTTCTTCCAAGGGGAGACGCTTCCGCTGCACAGCTGTGCATTCCGGCGACGGCGTTGCTCCTCACCAATCCCTAACGAACGGCAGGCAGTTTTCAGTTCTCTCCGAGCTTTTCCTTTGGCTCGTAGGTATTTTTTGGATAATATTTACGCACCTAGTTTCACTGACAGCATAGTGTACAAACACATAAACACACGATGTTTATCCCTATGTGATAAAATGAAACCTCATTTAAGCAAATGTCGGCTCGGAGGCCAGCTTGCAGGCTAGTGCCAACCTTTTATAGTAGTCATAAACTCCGGCTTTTATAACTGATACGTTGACAAGCTTCTGCCTACGACAGCGAGTGTTACCACCACAAACCACTACAGTCTGGAGTACTTTGCAACACCCTGCATCAGTTGTTCTTTATACAATGTCAGCTGGTTACTCAATTAACGAGGCAGCAAACAGCCACATAAAATCACTGAAGTGCATTTCCAAACAGCTTGAGACGATCTCCTGACCGCAAGCAGCAAGGCTCAACTTGAGCGACACCTCACCTGCAGAGAACGTGAGCTGGATCTGCTCCTCGATGATCTCCAAGGCAATGAAGTCGTGCTTCTCATTAAAACGCCCGTTGTAGAGGAGGAGAGCGTTCCTCTCCCTGGTTGCAAACCTAGAAGGCAGAGATGAGGGGCTAGTTCATGCTTAACGGCTTACGAATTAAATACTGACAGTCAAGTCGCCCAGGAGAAAGGCAGCTTTATAGTTAGCAGAAAAGCAAGCCTTTGCGTCTTTCTTCAGACAGAAAATCAGAGAAGTGAGCCAGCGGAAGGATAAATCTACTCTTTCACAACCAACAGAGGCAAGCAGGATGGACATTACAGCAATCTACTCTGCAGAGATCTGCTGCAGATGCCGACCCTCACACAGGGTAAAATCAGGCAGATGCACGATGCAGCACAAGCGTCTGACACTCGCCAAACAGTAGCACTTACTACACTTTGCAAACAGGCTGAAAGCTAGGCAGCATTTTCACATCAAAGGGGGGATGCTTGCTGCCTGCTCCCTGTCTAAATGCTACAGGGTACAAGGAGAGTCATCAACTGATCAAAAAGACCTGATAGGAAGGCAAGGAGAAAAGAAAGATAAGAGTTGCTTTAATAATGCCACACAGACAATCAGCGTTCATAAATCAACACGTCAGCCAACTGGAGGAAGGCAAATAAACGCTTAAATGATTCCACTAAATCAGCGTCAACGGGGGTTTTTTGGTTTTATTTTTCTCATGCTCCTAACATGGGATGTATCACACATTTCTTGCAGAAAACGAGGCAACCCCACTTGTAAAAAGCCTGTTTTTTCTGTCAGCACAGAACTTTTTTTGCAAATTTCTGTGTTGTGTTTTTTTTATAATTTTTAATTGAATCCTGTTATCTTTGGGGATTCACACACAGCTTTTATCTACTTAGAAATGCAAAAAAAGAAAATTACACTTTACGTAAATATTTTTACAAAGATTAATACTATATAAAGAGGGAAAG